GGGTTCAATGTCTTCTTGTTTTATGTTTTATGGTTATTTTGTTTAAATTTTTGATGGGGGGATTTAAAAAAAAAAAACTTTGTCCGACCTACTGACCCTATGCTGAAATTTCATGTTACCGGAAACACACATCTTTTTTGTTTGGCCTTATATCGTATTTGGCTACCAGTATCAATTTTATAGTGCAATAACACTGTTAGGCACATTTTATCCCATCACATTTCCCAGCAATTTATTTTGTGACATTTGCCATCACTATCCTTACTTGAGACAGTGCAGAGGCCCCGGTGGAGTGACGCGGGCGAGGCTGGCTCCGTTTACGGTGCTGAGCTGAACTTCAGAGATGTAAAGTGTAACAGAGGAGGACTGCAGTCTGGTCTTCACCACTTCCAGAGGACACGTCAAAATAGCACCCACTGTACCCCCACATCTGTCAAGAAACCCAAGAGACGACGTTGAGTGTCGAAATCACAGTAAGACAAAGCAGGACAATGGTGGGGAGCTACGGTGACATGACCATTTCGTATTAGCAATCACCAAGTCATAACAACCGACAAATGGAAGATATCAAAACTTTTAGTTGATTAGGAACACAGCTTACCAGAAACTAATTCTAACAGGACAACATTTGATTATCTGATGATTTGTACTGTTGTTTATCTGCATATGGTATAAGACACGAAATTAGTTCGGTAAACTGGTGATCGGGTTGCACTGACCTTCACTGAACCCATTAGTAAGAAGTAAACAATGTCCTGGAACAAAACTTAAACCATGGATCTCAATAACATATTTGCATTCAACAACTCTCTATTAACCTGGCTCATCCTTACTCGTTCACTCTGCTAGCACCAAATGACGACCGAATCGATGGGAAACCTGGAATACGCTTTAAATCAGGTCATGTGAATAAAAAAAGGTATGGTGTGCTGACTTTTATCCTGTTGGCAGGCAGCAAGAGTGCGCACTCTTCATCGTAGCACCAGCTATATTTACCTTTCACGGGGCGACCCACATTCATGCAAAGGCAGCGTTGACCCTTAGCCTAGTTTTCAGAGCACTGTTGACTGCTGCATGTGCAGGGACCGTGAGCTCACTTGTACAAGGAAAAAAACAGGATTCTGCTTTTACCTCAAGCTACATTTCCTTGTGAGGGGTCTCCCCTGAGGTGCTTTGTCAACAAATGGCTCTCTTTCAATTCCAATGGGTTTGTGTGCAAATGAGAGCAAAAGAAAACAATAGTCACAGCACTTGGGGAAAGAGGAACCTGCCTTTGTCATTGCTTTTAGGGAAGGGTCGTCAGACCCGTCTGCAGAAAATCTAATAGAAGGAATTTGAGATTGTTTAACTGATTGATCGCCTTCCTGTACCAAGATTTTGCATGGAAATACAGAATGTGATGCAGGTAGAGAGGGAGAGAGAGAAGAGCGAGAGAATTATAAATATCAAATGTAGTAATCCTGCCAATACCCGCCCCCTCAAAAATACACTGCACAACTCCCATTCAAGATAACCACTCAAGGCCTTTCAGAGGATAAGCCTAATACGTTTTGATTTTTTGTTTACGCCGGAAGTGCGGCCATTTAAAGAAACAAAAGTCAGCCAAATCACTCATTTTTTTCTATATTGGACTGTGACAAGTGAACTCCACGCACAGCTGCGAAAGTAGTAGCATGATTACTGTAAATAATCCAAAGTAATATTTATAGTTGAGCAATTCTTGCGCTACAACGTGGTTTAAAAGCCTAATATCGCGGATGTCAAGACATGTTCTTCAACTCACCCCCCGGCGAACAAATGAACCAGTGTGTCCCTTTGGCTCATTATTTAGCATACTCTGCTAGGCAGCAAAAGTCCGGGATGCGGCAGAGGAGCAAAAATGAAAATACAATTTAAAAAAATAATAATAAACACTGGTTGCCGTGCCCTGTGTCTTCTCGCAGATGTTTGTTTGCCGTCGTGTGGATGCCCACGTCGATTGGACACAACGACGACGTTTGTTGATGATGACCCAGCGGCGGGCGAGGCGATTTGCACCCCACTCAGGGCCCTCTTCTTCGATGTCGCCTTTCTCAGCGCTCGCTCGCTAGCGTCTTCTGACTAAATCACAGAAAATGGCGCGAACCACCGCGGAGCGTCTTCGTTTGAGAGCAAATGTCCTCTACTACAGACGTTTATATGTAACATGCACTCGTTCGTCCGGAGTGTGTCCTTTGCTTCGTTCGCTGCGACAGACAGTGGCCAAACCTCACACTCTTAACTCAACTTTCATAGGCTGAGAAACACGGGCGGGGATTGGTCAATTGGACGTGGACGTCATGTCTGTCACGCCCTGATCACGCATTGTTCACATGCTCAACGATTAATTTATTAAACCAATGGGAAAGCTTTTGATCATATCTTAAAGGCCGATATACATTTGTAATTTGACGCACTGCTATTATAACAATCATTTAGAAATAATTTCTTTGGAAAATCAGCTGATTTTGAAGTGGCGCAACAGTCCCTTCACACAACCGCTGTATTGGAAACCGAATCGCTCGTTTTAAAACTGGGCTGCCCGGATCCGGGAGGTCCGTAAACTATAGCTTGAGGGTCGACAAATTAATTTGTAGTCAACCATCAGGCCTGATCGGAATGTCAAATCTCAAACATATCCCTCCTTTCCTCGGCAGGAGTGCACCACTTCAGTTTTTCAGTCTCTCTTTTTCTAATATATTGCCATCTTGCTTTTTATCTGGTCGTCCAGTGGTTAGCACGTCGACCTCACAGTGCAGAAGTTGTGGATTCGATCCCGGCCTTCATGTGTGGAGTCCTTCATGTGTGGAGTATGCATGTTCTCCCCGTGCCTGCGTGGGTTTTCTCCGGGTACTCCGGTTTCCTCCCTCATTCCAAAAACGTGCATTGCAGGCTGAGTGAACACTCTAAATTATCCCCGGGTGTGAGTGTGAGCGTGGATGGTTGTTCATCTCTGTGTGCCCTGCGATCGGCTGGTCACCGGTTCAGGGTTTCCGCCGCCTACTGCCTGAAGACAGCTGGGATAGCCTCCAGCACCCTCTGCGACCCTTGTGAGGATAAATCGGATTGGAACATGGATGAATGGATGTTTTTTATCTTGAAGCACGTTGAGTTTATGCTTGCCATATGAAATGTCCTATCCCAATAAATTGCGATTGCCATTTTCTTTGTGGAAAACACCATCGGGTTAAGAAGCGATTAAAAGGGGTTTCCTTTTGAACAAACAATGTTTAAATTTAATTCGACCTCACATTTCCTAAAAAAGTTCACTGGGCGACAGTAAGTACTAGTCCTGAGTCTCGAGCTTGGAAGTACTATTTTCAATAAATGGACAATAAAAAGCGCTTTACAGGGACTCAGTGTCTTGCTCAGGCGCACCATGTTGGTCCAGATGTTGCTGGGGGGATGGTCCATTTTACACACACACACACACACACACACACTGCCGCCTTCGTGTGTGGAGTTGGCATGTTCTCCACGTGCCCGCATGGGTTTTCTTTGGTCAAAGTAATCCATAATGCTATGTCGTGCCATCTTTATAAAAGTACACACTTTACATATAGGCACTTGTGTACTGATGAAACAAAAATAATTCACTTGTTGCAGGAACAAATTTATTTTCACTGAATTGACCTTTAATTGCAATGTAAATTCACGAGTTAACGCTAACCAGTCACATCAGCTGATAGACTCGCGCTCAGAATAGTTAGTTGCTGATTCAATAATGCCACTGAATAGATCCACAGTTTTGTAATTGACAGCAGAGTATCGCAAGTTGGAGTCATGTGCACGTTTTCAGCATTCACATTCTATCGTGTCATGTATTAAATTACAAATGTCATGTTAGTCTTATGATCAAAAACTTTTGATTGAACGCTGAAGGAGCTATGTGTGCAGTGAATACAGTTTCACCACAGAAGGAGTTCCCGTCATGCAAATATAATCTACCGGTAAATGAAAATCACTATCACTTCCTTTATGTGGTTGATTGGTTGATTAATCGCATTTACAACGTCGATTGCAACCATCATTCATTCCGATCAATTCATGTTGTACTGTAGGGTAAGAAAGTGACTGAAATTATTTGATCCTGTCCTTTTTATCCCAGTCATTTGTAAACCAAGAGCAAATTTAGGAATAACTGGAATTCTTTATCATGTCCTTTTTTGACAAGACATACTTACATGTGAATATACATGTTCAAGGCATGAAATTTTCAAATCAGAATTATATTGTATAATTTTGCATCTCATATATCTTATTATTGCAATGAGGTGTGTGTGTGTGTGTGTGTGTGTGTGTGTGTGTGTGTGTGTGTGTGTGTGTGTGTGTGTGTGTGTGTGTGTGGCGGGGGGGTGCACGTGCAAGGGTTTCGGAGCAAAGGGGGTTCTCAAACAGGGCAAGCAAGCACCTCCACTGCCTGTAACAATTGACAGATGTACAGTAGTGCATGGCAAATTTGTGTATTTGAAATGTGGCCACAGTTAAGATTGAGTCTCCATTTGCGCCTTGAATAAAGTCCAGTATAAAGTGTCTACTATGACTTTGTGGTGTAGTAACTAAACACAGACTGCATATTCTGATATTTTCTTTAAATCAGTGCTGTTATTTGATGTTCATTGAAAAGTGGAGAACAGGCAACTGTAGAGTTAGATATGCAGCAGTCATGTTGGGGCACCCAAAAAAGATTTACTACCTTGAATTGCTTCGCATGGGAACTCTTTTCAAGATCACAAGACTGAGCTGCAGCAAGTGAATTATACAATTATTGAAAACCCAGCATTGTGAATAACTTATGCAATCAGTCTGCGTTTTTTCCAAATGTCCAAAGCTACAACTGACTCGGGATCTTCCTGTTAATCTCTGCGATATTTCAGATGACCCCAATATCCAATCTAATGCGCCAGAAAAAATGTTTGATCCATGCATGTCACGCATTTCACTCCTGTAATATGAAGCAACAGTCATCAACGTGTGACGAGACAAACAATTTTTAAGTAAATGCAACACACCACAGAGAAGAATATTGTCAACAACCCTGACAATGTGAATCGTTAAAAAAAAAAATCTCAATCTACATAAGATGAGACTTCAAAATCATGAAAAATCAAGCCGTTGTGTATGCTCTCAAATGCTGCGGACACGTTTATTTAATTTATCGAAACCAAGCCTGGCTCAGCATGTCACTCAAATACTACTTTCTGGAAAAATGGATGCCACTTTGTCTGGCATCTTTTATGATGCCCCCACACAAAACTACATACTTGAATCACAAAAATACAACTGTTCAAAGCTTCCAATGGCTGGAACATATTAGGTCGGTCACACGACAACAAAGCATTCTAAAGCGGCCACGCCAGCAGACCACCCGAAGGGAACCTGCATTTTTGGGTTGTAGGCATACTGTAGCTAGCTGCTATAAATGCACAGTGCGATTACGTTGGCTAATCGCTGACGCAAACAAATCCGTTTGCATTAAGTGAGCGGTGTACATTATTTGGGCTCCGTTTTAGCCATGCCCACCCCAAAACAATTTAGCGCTTTATCTCAAGAAATGAGTACCACTCATTTCTCAGACTTTGCATAAGATTTCAGCAATTGTCTTCAAACATGCATAATGTATTTAGAGACAAATCTCTGGTTTCACCGACCAGGGTGTTAAGTCATTTGTGGAAACTGTGATGCTGACAAATATCTGTAGCAATAGGCAAAGAGCAAGACTGTGACGAACAGTGGCGAACAATGATAAAATGGTTGAATATATTGAGTTTTTGTCAAGCAAAACGTTTGTGGTTATATCATTTGAAATAGGACTGCCGCAGAGGCGATTGCTCTAAGACTACAAGGGAAGCTCAGCTTCCCCTAAAATGTCAAAAAAAAAAAAAGTGATCAAATATATGTGTGTACATACAATTGTGTGTACATGTCATTGACTAAATATGCGCTACAACGTGCTCAACTTTTGTTTTGAATCAGCTTCTTAAGACTGGTTACGACACGACTCCCTTCTCATTCATTCCCGCAGCTTCACTGTGCTTTAAACTGTGTGGACGCTGAGCGTCTACAGCGCGGACGCTGGGCATCTCGAGAGTTCAGTGTAGGTTGTCCCAATGCGTTGAAACGAGACGAGTCATTGGATAAATGTTGGTTTTGTCCCGCCCACCGGACGCTCCGCGTCTCTGGGAGTCTATGGACAGTGGGCGTGTATCGGCTGGCTCGGACGCTGAGCTTTTCTGCATGATGATTGGATGATCTATCTGAGGCTGAATCTCTTTTTGATTGACAGGGAAATTGGCCAATCACCGATCTTTTAGTGTAGGCATCCGTGGGAGCATCTTTCAATTCTCATTCTGTTCTAAGTTGAACTGGAGACTTCTTCTAATCATCTTAGCGACACTCTCTTTGTTGAAAACGACTAGCAACGAATTAATCTTTTATTTCTGGTGGGTTTTATTGTAGTTGCTGTAGTTGTAGGACACTAGTTAAGTCCCTAGAAAAGACGCCTTGTTGGTATGACAGGGTCACGGATAATTTTCTTGAAAAGGAACGGAGAGTAGAATTCACGTATAAATAAACGGACACATTTTATGATGTCGGCCAAAATTGAGCTTCCCCTCCTTGACAGACCAGCATCCGCCACTGGACTGCCGCATCACAAAAACGGCACTAATTATAGTGGACAATGTAAAGTTATATCTTCTGTTGTAAATACATGTACTTGATGTGAAAATTCCTTGCGTGTACACGTGCCCTTCAGTCATGTTAAAGTCCACTAACACAGGTCTCATGATATTCTCCAGAGAGGTGGTATCTCGTGATTCCTGTTGAACTTTGACCAAACAGAGGAATGGGGCAGCAAAACGCAAACACGCGTGCACGCTTGCATGTGCGGATGTGTGTCTCCAGTATGGGCATGGAACATGTGCACTATAGCGCTGCTCTTTATCAGTGTTTGGGTACAAAGGGAATAAGGGGAGCAGGCAAGGCATACAATGAGGTCAAGGCAGATGGGACGAAAATAGATCCTGTTCAACTTTGGTTCTCAAACTTTGAACACAGAGTATGACCTTAATGAATGCTTAGCTCTTCAGGAACCACCACAATGACTACCATTAAAATACACTCATATAAAAGGACCACATGTTCATCAGAAGACAAGACCGAGGTTAAATTCCTGAAAGCTACGGTATATTTTATATTATTGAAAGCCAATGTCATATTTGCCGTTTGAACATGAACACT